TTGCTCTTTTTTATCATAGTTCTTTTCTGTGAATATTTTTTTTACAAAATTTATACAATTTGTGAAATCTATCTCAATGTTTAAAGAAACAGAATTCATGCTCAGATAATGTCTACAGTCTCTTGCGTGCGCTATTAGCACGGTCCTATTAAATCCTAACAGTAAAATGAGGTGCTGCAAGTTCGTATTATCGTCACGTTCAAAGAATCTTTCGAGTGAGTCAACCCCTGGAAAAAGGACTCGACATTGGTCGGCCTGGACGGTTGCAACTCGCAGGAACATCTAGCTCGCGCCCCGAGGAAATTGCATTCGCGAGTTGGTCTTCCACCAACCTCGTTTCCCCCTCTTCTCTTCCCCCTCATCCCGCTAGAGTCGCTCTCGTGATAAAGAGAGAATAGAAAAGGGTTGCTGGAGAAGTGAATTAAATTTAAGCCAACTCGCGTCCTATCCAACTACCCCCGTCCTCATCTGTGACACCACCTTTCCTTTCTTTCACAATCCTCTCGCACTTTGTGTCGGGCTTCTCTTTGTCGTTCTGTCCTCTTCATAGCTGAGCCGGGGCGACCGGCCAGCCGAGACGACAGCAATGGCCCTCTTTTTAATTTCAAGATAAAAGAGGGCAAAACTGCCATTCGAGGATAGTTGGATAGAGGGCAATGGAGGGCAATCAAGTCGAGTTATAAGTATCGTCGGGGAAAAAACTATTCTTTTAAAACGAATTCGATCTCTTGACTAAAAGTGTAACCGAACTATAACGGACGAGATCTTTCGTTTAGGTATATAATAACAGCCTTCACATTCGAAAATGATCTCCACGGCGGAGCCATTTTAGTCTACAAAGTACCTAAGCTCTACCTGACTGCCAACTCGGTTTCCAAGATACCTCTTTTGTTCCAAAGAAGAAGAAATCGAAAAATCGGTAAGAACAAATGGACGAAGACAAATGGACAAAGACTTTAATACAAACTGCATTTGAAGTTTATTCATCAAATATTTAAGTTTGAAAATTTAATCTCAATCAAATTTTCATCGAACAAACAACATTAATGTACAAATCAACGAATTAATAAAAATTATCTTTTAAATAAATATTATATTACTTACTCTATATATATTAATTATCTATCTCTATTGTTATTTTTCTATATCACATTTTATTTATAACGCTTAATCCTTCATTTCATGAAAATGTCAATTATTACAATCTCTTAAATTAGAGAAAATTATTTTTAAAATTAAAATCAAATCAAATATTATCAATAAATTAATATGTTATTATAAAAATATAAATTAGCACGTAATAAAAATATAATATATAAAATTTTTATTAATAATCCTTTACGTCTGCAATTTTTAACTATATCTAGTATTTTATAGTTACATTTATATTTCACAGAGATAACATTACAGAGAGAGGTCGACAGTCTGACAGTCGATTATGCGATGTAACAAGAAGTAATGAAGATACAGCGCACAATTCGAAAGTTGGACAGTTGGTTTCAAACAAAAACAAACGAAGCGAGAATTTTCTGAGTTCAAAGTTACAAACATTTATTTGAAAAAACGCGGTATATATATATATCGATGTCTTATATGCGTTAATGCATATCTATCTTAAAAATTTCATTTTTTAGTTCATTTTAGTTTATTTTTATCGTACCACAAATTTAACTTCAGTCGTAATTCAATTTGCACTGCATATTGTAAAATAATCAATCTTGTATGATAGCTTTGTAAAAATAAAATATTCAAAATGCATCTCTTTCACATTTTAAAACTCAGAAGAATTAATACCTCTCGCGAGGTCTATTATTTTTATGAGAGCACATATCGCAATATCATTATTTCGCTTTGAATTTTGTTTTTCGAATTGCTCGACATGATACAGAATTAAACGCGTTTTGCAAATAACTATGATGTTAATAGAGGTAAAGCGAAAATTCGCGGATGCATTAAAACAATGTCAACAGATCGGAACAGTTCGGAAAATAGTAGGTCGATTACGGATTATTAAATGGACAATAATAAAATATATATATATATATATATATATATATATATATATATATATATATATACGCAAAATGCGCGAACATCGGCACAGAGTAAACAGTATTTTTCAAAGAATTTCTGGGTCAGTACAAATGTATCTATTTTCCGAATACAATATATATATTTATATATTTACAATGTTTATATATAATATAATATATATATTTACAATGTTTTGTTAACGGAATAGTGTATCGAAGTGAATCCACCTTTATATGAAGGCATATCTCGTTACAGATTTTAGTTCTCCAAATAGCGGAGCAGTATCGCTGATATGCATCTCAATATTACGCGAAGCGGTTCTATGTAAAGCGAAACGGCCATCCTATTACAGATGATATTACTGTGCGTAACTTCGCTCGTCTTCATCAATAATGCATCACGAACATGAAAATGAAGCAACGTTGAAGATAAACTGTAACTTCCACGTGACAACAAAATTGCAAGATTCATATAGAAATAGCTATTTTGTTAATTTACTTTCGAGTAGTTTTATACTGGCTGTATTAGAACATTATATGTACGTTTTCCGTTAAAGATTCCTTGATAAATTTCATGTCGTTACATGTTACTCTTATTGTAATTGAACCAAGACTTAAAGCTCGAATTCCGTAAAATCTCATAAATGAAAATAAATTGCGATACACCGAGGTGAAACAATCCGTTGAAACGGAGCGATGCCAAGGTCGTTCTTGTAATAGGAAACTGAGGTCAAAGACTGCAAAGGTACTTTAGTAGTGTAGTTTATTGTAATGAGAAAATACTGAGCAAACATCAGCAAAACCGACTGATTCGATTCTTCTTGTTAAGACGAGATAAATAGGGAATGAATATTTCGCCATGTAGAGTTATAGAAATGCATTCTTTCGGTATTATTTTTTTCCACGAAGAGATCTAAACAAGGAACTCATTTTAAATTATGAAATTTAAATTAATTTTAATATTTTGACATATTAAGCTTCAACGTTATAGATCACTCAACAAAATTACATCTATCCTCTTTTATGTATTTACATAAAATTTG